GTTATTGTTTTAAGCTTGATTGGGTTGTTAAAGATGAAGTTTTTATTGATGGGCGTGTATGGTAAGATTTTTCTTAAGAGGTATTAATGTTTTAGCTGCGTTTTGTGGTAAAGTTGTCTACTTTTGTTTGTGGGTGGTGTGTATTTACTTGATTTGGTTTTAGAGATGATGTGTTTTTAGTGTTTTAGTTTAGGGTTGATTTTGCTGAACTTGCGCTCAGTTTCCTTTGGAAACAGCCTCTCTACCTCCACGAAGTAGATGTAAGGTCTGTGATTTCACTGAGTATGATGTTGTTGTTGTTGTTAGTTTAGGGTTGAATTTTTGCTGCATTTGAGCTGAGGGTGCTTTGGAAACAGCCTCTTTGCTTCCACAAAGTAGGTGTAAGGTCTGTGATTTCACTGGATATGTTGTTATTGTTAGTTTAGGGTTGATTTTGGTGCTTCAAGATTAGATATTTCATTGATGAAGTGAGATTTTCGTCGGAATTTTTATGCTTTGTTATGGCTTTCTCCCTAATTTGTTTTGTTGGTGCTCTGTAATTCCTTGACTTTTGGTGCTGGAGTTGTTGTGTTGAGTCTTAGTTTATGCTCGGATTGAAGATAGATGATGTCATATATGGCTGTATGTTGAGGTTTTTCTGCTTCATTTGTGGATTTTCTCTGTAGTTTAGCTTCTTGGAATTGTGTGTATCCTTGTTTTTCTGTTGAGGCATGGGGTTAACCTATATTTTTTTTGTCTTGTATTCTTGCTAGTAGCTTAAATTTGTTGCTGTCTGAACTTTTCACTTTTTTGTCAGCTATAATTTTAGCATGCTCTATGTTTTGCATTTGTGCTGATATGTTATGAGTGTGCATCTGTTCTCTGTCCCTTTTTTCTCCTTGATTTTCCATTGCACCGACTACTTCTGCTGTAGATATGCTCTTTTACTTTGTTTGATGGCATTTCAACTCCTCAAGTGACTTTTACCTATGTAGATATGTACTTTCCTTTCAATTTTTTTGAGGAAGATTCATGTTCCAATGCCTCTCAAGTCACTCATTGTCTGTTGATTGTATCAGATCTATTGTTACACACATTTTACTCACCCTATCAGGCATGAGGTTCTGTAGAGGTTTCCTATGTCGCAAATATGATTCGTATTGTATTATTTTAATTGATAACCTGATTGCTGTAAGATATTTCGTGGTGATCTTCTGGGAGGTGTTGTTGTTTCATGTATGCTTCTATTTTGGATTAGCTGACATATTTCTTGTTTAGGTTGATGCTAAGAGGGCCTTGTCGAGAGAGGAGCAGCAGGGCTCAAAATCTGGAAACACAAATAGTGCCAGAAATTTTGGAGGTGGTGGAAATACCAGGACCAAGAAAATTTTTGTTGGGGGATTGCCTCCCACTTTGACCGAGGAAGGATTCAGACAATATTTTGAAAGTTTTGGTAATGTCACTGATGTAGTAATTATGTATGACCAGCAGACCAACCGACCTCGTGGGTTTGGTTTCATCTCATTTGATTCCGAAGATGCAGTAGATAGAGTTTTACAGAAGTCCTTTCATGATCTGAATGGTAAACAGGTAGAAGTAAAGAAAGCTCTTCCTAAAGATGCTAATCCCGGTGCTGGTGGCCGTTCCATGGGCGGCGGAGGCGGTAGTGGTATGGGTGGTGGAAGTTATCAGGGGTATGGTGGATCAGGTAACAATCCCAGTTCTTATGACAGTAGAATGGATTCCAACAGGTACATGCAAACTCAAAATGCTGGAGCTGGCTATCCTTATGGTTCATCTGGGTATGGTACCCCAGGCTACGGCTATGGGCCATCCAACAATGGTATGGGCTATGGCAGTTATGGAAGTTATGGCGGAGCAAATCCGGGCTATGGGGGTGCCAATGCTGGCTATGGTGCTGCTGCAGTTGCTGCAGCCTATGGAAATCCAAATGCAGCCAGTGCTGGTTATGGAAGTGGTCCAGCAGGTGGACCAAGAAGCACATGGGGCTCTCAGGGTCCTTCTGGGTATGGGAATATGGGCTATGGTAATGCCCCTTGGGGTGCTGCAAATGCTGGTGGTGGTGGTGGTGGACCTGCTAGTGGAGGATCTGGTCAATCTCCAACTGGAACCGCAGGATATGGGAATCAAGGTTATGGTTATGGGGGTTATGCTGGTAATGAGGGTGCTTATGGAAATCAATCTGGTTATGGTGCTGTTGGACGTGCTAGTGGTGCTCCTAGTGGTAACTCACCTGTTGGAGGTGGTGCTGCAGGAGACATGCAATCAGGTGCTGGGGGTTACATGAACAGTGGCTATGCTGATGCAAGTGGAAACTCTAGCTATGGGAATTCAGCATGGAGATCTGATAACTCACAAAGTTCTGGTAATTATGGTGCCGCACCAAATGGTGGCCAAGTTGGATATGGTGGTGGATATGGAGGTGCCCCCAGTCGGCAAGCTCAGCAGCAGTGAATGAGATGCTTCGTGTTGTCTCGGACTTCATCTCTTTTACTGGAGAGTTTGCGTCACTTTTGCGTTTCACATGCAGAGTGCTGCTCTTGCGAGGTGTCACCTGCTAAATGAGACTGGTTGGATTGCTTGAATCCCTAGTAGTTTGCAGTATTTATTTCTAGTTTATAATAACTAGTATTGTCGCTAGTACTACCTATTTCGTGTTATTGTTGTTAAGTGCAGTCTTAATCTCGCTTGCTTATGATTATGTTTGTTAGTTAATGTGGTTCATTTGTTTTCATAGTCCAGATATATTGGCTTGTGTTAAACTTGCGTGAATTTACTTTTTGATTGAGCCATCAGTTGGGGAATTGGTATTTGAAGTGGATTTTAACCTGTCTTCTGAAGCAGGTGGATGGTTCGGTGCTATTATTTTAAGTGTCACATAAAAAGAAAATGTTAAATAAGAAGAATAGAACACTTTCTATTTTTCTTTGCGTGATGTAGTTGGACCATGAGATTTGGTGGTGCTACTTACTCATAGGAGAGCAGTTGTAGCAGACATGGTAGATCAGTACGTAATGGATAGCGATAATGTTAGCGGTAGTTGAATTTTGAGAATGGCATAATCATTTCCCCCTGTATTTGACCTTGTGTTGTACAGGAGGAGAGGCCTGAGTACTGAATGTGATGAACAGCCCACTCGGAGATAAATACGACCTGGGTGCTGGAGATGTTTAGTAAAGAAAGGTATCTTACTATGGATTGGCTTGTTTGATGGGGTATTGTCCTGAAAGTTGTCATGGTGAAGCAGACCAAGGCCAAGCAGGCGCTGCTGAGTTGTATTTTGTGCAGGGTCGAGACTAAGAGCCATCCACTTGGTATATGTTGCATCCAACTGCTGTTGAGTGTCGATTGGTTCTTTTGAAACTGGAAACTTAGACTTTTAGTGTCTCAATAATTTAATTAGGTACTTTGACAATTTAACTTGCAGAATTTCTTCTTTAGGTTTGAAACAGTTTTTTCAATGCAATGGATTCTTTTCTCAGGACGGTTGTTAGAAATTAACATGGTTTAGTAGGTCACTGGTGTAAAGATGATTTGGCTTACCAGTCTGCCATGTTTCTCGTGTTTATACATCATCTTATATCAGTAGGATAACTTAGTAGTTTGTGCCTTCTTTAGAATTAGATTTTCGTTGTTTGTAGTTAGTCGAGCCTTTTATGATGGAAAGTCACATCATTCGTGTATAAGATGATTCGACTATATCATCTACAACGCTCTCACACGTGTTATTTTTATATCAGTAGGTTAACTTATTAGTATACTGCCTGTCATCAAAGTAGAATCCAGCTGTGCATTAAGTTTCTTAGTAAATACTGCAGATGTCTTTGTGTTAGTAGAGTATATCCCTTTTTGAAATCGTGTGGTAGCCTCTCCCTCCCGGTTTGGCCTCCAAAGGAACTAATTTCCTTTCTTCTTAGGTTGAGGTAAGTTCATGTTCCTATCTATGGTCTTTCCTTGTATAGATGGAAGTTTTAGATTGTACAGGGTGTCGTCCATCGCTTGTTTCATTCTAACTTTTCAAGGGGGCTTAGATGTTAATGTCTATGTACTTGTAACTAATCATCTTCTACTGTTGTTACCTTTCCCTCAACACCTGAATAACATGTCTTCTGGCTCCTTTGCTTTGTGAACCAAGTTGAGGCGGCCTTTGTGTATACATTTCTTTTGGTGAATGAGAAATCTATTTGGAGTAAACCCTGAAGCCTGAAACCTGGGGATGATGGGTCGCTGCTTTATCCTTCCCCACTTAAATATTGGATTTGGTTTGTTTGGCATAGAGCTCAAACAGTGTAGCTACACAAGTTGTAGTGTGATGATTTTGTTGCTCATGTACTTAATTTACCATTTGACTTGTCGCATGTTTGGAAAGCAGGAAAGAGGAGTGAGTAAACTCGAAAATGTTGGCTTCCCTGTTATTTTCCTTGGTTGGAAGAAGAGGAAGACTTCCCGTCGATTCTCCATTCCTTGCTGCAATTTCCTCATTTTGTTTTTGGGAGTTGAGGTGAAGATGAGGTGTGTTGGACAATAGAGTGGATACACTTAATATAGAACACTAAGTGGAATTTGTTTTCGCTACTTCCATTGGTGAAGTTACTAAATCATTTTCAAGGTATTTGTTTATTTAGAAAAATATTTTTCAATTTTTTTTATCTATCAAAATCAAAAGTGGTCGTGTTTATACCGTTGTATTGAATGATTTCGAAACTTGATAAGGAGCACATACAGTAATTTTCATGAGCAAATAATTTTCTTAAAGTTGTAATTACCAAATTTGGTATCTTAACAATGATAACATATAGCACATAGTAAGTTATTTGGAACGAGTATTGGAAATATTTTAATAAGCTATAACCAATTAAAACCACATAGAAAAATGATTTATAATCACTTTCCAAAAATACAGTATGGCTTGGTTAGTTTTTTTTTTGCAGTGTAAAGGAATCAAAATATTTTTGCATAAAGTAGGTCCTTATTATACAATAATCTATAAGAAAATCACCGCAACAAATCAAGAATAGGTACAAAACAATGAACTCAAAAAATTTATAAAAACAAGCCTACGATCAATCGTATAAAAAAAATAAACTCTAATAAGCTCAAGGCACACCATTGTAAGGATCACCAAATGCTGCAACATTGCCTGGCCTTGAGAATACAATCTATATATACAAAAAAAACAGAATGAGAACAAACAATTTTACATGTTGTAAGCATTTAGATAAAGTAGAAGGATGCTATGTTGTCCGGACTTTTCAAAAATATCAACAAGTGCCTGTCATATCCTATAAAGGTAGTGCATTTTTTAAGGATCTGACACGGTGCAACAACATTATTGGAGAGTTTGAGAAGGGAAACCATGTATTAAGGTGAAGATCAAGGTCCATTTATTTTTATTCTTAACTGCTTGCAAGTATCAATTGAGCAACATACACATTCACAAGGGGCGGAAGGGGTTCATCATCTACTGTATTTACATAAAAAAAAGACCATTGTACTTCGCATATAAGTATTTTCGAAGGTTTTTCACCATACCTGATAATCTCCTAACGTGCACGTTTTGAATCCAGCAGCACAGTAGTCAAAGTAGTACTCCCATGTCCTGATGAACTTATCGTCGAATCCCAAAGCATGAATTTGGCTAGTCACAAAGTTATTAAAGATAGTCTGTTACTTTAGAACAAGCTACAGAATGATTCATGAAGGAAACATGTTTAACACAATGTATGTTGTTGTTGTTGTTACCTTTGTTTTTCCAGGAAGTTTTTCCGCCAGCATCTCAGCGTTTGATAGTAATGGATTCCTATGTCTTCTAGGTGCTCGACACTGCATTTGTATCATTTGTCAAATGGACATACTATGCTTGTGTCAAATGACAACATGAACTCTTTGTTTACCATAGTCTAGATGCAGCAGACATGGCTGATGTTACTCGACTTAGTGCAGGTACGCATCCACCGGGGAATATATACTCTTTTATGAAGTCTGAGCTCTGTCTGTATTCGTCATACCTCTCATCTGGTATTGAAATGAACTAAGGAAAGCCAACGTTTGTGAAAAGAAGAGTGAAGGAAATTGAAGGGAAGACGCGAACAATGTGGAACGTATATTCATTACCTGCAGAACAAGAAGGCCATCTTCTGCTAGTGCAGATTCACAACAGGTAAAGAATTCCTCCATGAACTCATGACCAACAGCTTCTAACATCTCGCTGAAAATGATTATTAGTACAATTATATTACACTGGCTTGACTTGTAATAAAGTAATATGAAATTACATAATTTAGGTATGCAACGACTTACCATGATATAATCCTGTCATATCTAGACATATTTGGCAATTGACGATAGTCACATAGGAGAAATGTTATATGATCCTATGAATGCATTTCATTGAATATAGTCAGTACTGATCAAAATTCTCCTAACTTGGTTCCAATGTATCATCTGTTATTTGAAGTTATGTACCTGAAGGCCTGCTTGCTGAACTCTTAACTTTGCATACTTCAGTTGCTGCTCGGAGAGAGTTATACCAGTATATTTACATCCTGTTCGCTTAACAACTTCCACAGCTAAACTTCCCCAACCACATCCGATCTCTAAGATGTGATGTTCCTTCTTAACCTTTGCCTAAAAAGATCAGAATCAGAATCAAGTTTGGCTCGAACTTAATGTAGAAATGAGGGATTATTTACTATGTTGACAACTTACCTTTTTGATGAGAAGAGAAATCTTCCTCTCCTGTGCTACTTTCAGGTCTTCCTCTTCACTCTAGAACAATTACAAAAAAAAAGATCACCTTAAGAACAAGATTTAAAGAACAGAAAATGTATCTTTGACCTCTTACCTTAAATATTGCACATGAATATGTCATTGTCTCGTCTAGAAACAGAGAGAAGAGCTCATTACTCTGAAAAAAGCGATAAATATACTTATCAGCCTATGTAAGATGACAACGTTACAAGAAAACAGTAGAAAGTGACTAACTGTACAAGTTATTTACCAGGTCATAGTGACGAGAGATGTTCCTACGAGCCTGAGTCAGGGTGTTCTGATTTGAAACATGTCGAATGAAGTACTTTACAGATGACACTGCAGCTGTAAAAAGAAGTGGTGTCCACCATCCTCTGGAGATACAGGTAACGAAAAAAACTTTTAACGTGTCAACGGAAGTTGTAATGTTCTGATTACAGTTTCTGTTAACTATTTACCTTTTCTTACTAGACCTTGTGACAGATGCTTTCAAATCTCTGCTGTTAACAAAAATCTGTAAAAGGATTCAGGATGCCAAGTACAAACAAAAAGCTATTGACATATAAATAGAGTCATTTTCTCACCATGAAAAGATTAAGAAGACCGTCGTTCTTATCAACAAAAGAGAAGTCACCATGAATAAATGCATCAGCAAGGCCTAAGTCACCTTGAGTTGCAACCTGTAAGTGATTAGTTTATGTCAAAGAATTTATTTATTCCTTCACATTTTTCTTCTTTAGTTGCTTGATGAATACGGGAGACGGAAAAAAAAACTAACTCTAGTTACCTTCCAGTAAAATTGTGGACTATGAACTCTAAGAGAAACTTTGAGAGTGCTTTTCTTCTCTGTTCCTTCAAATGTGAACATTGTACCTCCTTCTTCTAACAGGCTGAGCACAGAAAAATATTAGTCTAAAAACAACGTATGCATGATTCGTTTATGTAGTTAAGTATAAAAGAGCATGCTTTCTCATTAAAATAGTTTTTCTGAAACTGGATGGATGGAAATACCATGTTGTTAAGCCATTTTGGACTATACAAAATGAAACTGTTATATAACTCACATTAAGCATCCTGTCGCGATGAAACTCTTGAGAAATCTAGTAACGAGGAGGCGTGCTCCTGTTTCTGGCCAGGTAGGTACCATGTGTTTGGGATTTTTCAGGATACTAAAGTTTTTCTTAAGTAATCCTTGTGCAGCAATAGCACCTGCCTGAGAAGCAGCATAAAAAGCAGATTATTATCCACATATTGTATATTGTGTATTCGTGTTCATGGATTTCATTTCTCCTTCAAGTTGAAATGTGGTAAGCTTGTTGGAAGGATATATATATAGTACTACCTTTAGTCCATCCTCATGAAAGCCATAGCCTGAAAGTAGTATTGCAATTTAACATCAATGAGTGGTGAAAGAACAACGCGGCTATAAAATTCGTGCACTAAAGGAAGCAAAGATAAGAGAATCAGGACAATTTTATGAAAGTACCTTGATATGCTCCACAAAACCATATTCCTCTCTTGCCTTGGATTTGATAAAGCTCATATGAAGCTTTCGATGCAGCAACTGAGGGTACTGGATGACCGGTGGTCCACTTAAGCAACGTATGCTCTGGTGTGTGAGGAGGATTAAGAGTTACACAATAAGGCCTCTCTGTCTCACCAAGGTTCTGTTGGTTTACACATTCCAAAGATAAGAAGACTTCCTTATTGAAAACATTATAGAAAGGAAATGCGTCATATACCTGGAGTATATTGAGCCAATATGTCACGCATACTCTACTGTTCATGGTTCCAAGAAAATTCCATGAGCTCCACGCTGCTGAGTTGCGAGGCAGGAGAGTTTTGTCACAATGAAGGAAAATATCACTGTTGCAGAGGAATAGAAAATGAGTGTTCATGTTGACATTATAAATTGTTGTAACACTATGGTTCTAAATACCAACTAACTTCATTCAAAACCAAGCAGCAACAGAAGAAGTTCAAAGAATTTGTCAAGAAGATGCATTCTCTTCAACATAATAATGAGCGCGCAAAGTACCTGTAAACATATTGGAAAGCACCCAATATTCTTGTTTCATCATATGTTGCCTCTTTGCCTAACATCCTCAGAGTATCTGGTGCATGTGCAGCCATTATGCATCCATCGTATATGTCTTTGGAACCATCGGTGCAAGCTACAGTACAACCTACACCCGCTATCTCTTACAGTTAGAACTTAGAATCACGACTAGTTTCTACCTATCGGAAGATTTTTCTACACCAAATGAATTGTATGGACATATGGACAGGAAACTCTCACATAAATACATAAACAGACATGGAGAACATAGAGGGATTCAAAATGCTAAAACAAAACCGGACCTTCTTCATTCGTAGATACAGAATTTACTTCACAGCCAGTCCTTACTTGACATCCTCTCTTCTCCAACTCATCCTTAACCTGCTTTGTATACCATTCAACTAACTCAGAAGGATGATATAATCTTAACAAATCATTCAAGAAACCGAAAATTGTTACTTGCTTGAAGTTCTTATTGTATGAAATCAGTAAGTTTTTTTGTATGGTATTTAAAAAGAATAAAAATACCACCTTGTTTACATATGTATGTGATCTCCATCTAACAGTGAGCCATTGAGGGCGACCAAAGAGCTGTAAAGAAAGAACGAAACCATTTGGCTATAAGATATACAGAAAACGTGCTCGTTAAACAGTTTGTATGAGAATTCTACCTGAAGAAGATGGTGGTTGCGACAAAATGAAAGGATGGAGTAAGCAGAAAAGCCCATTACTCCATCTGAGGGGCAGGACCATATAGAAGCACATATTGGAACCTGTGAAACATATGTGTGAATTGCTTGTAGAAAGATTAGTACTTTGAATGAACAAGAGTTCCTATACAGAACAGCAGCCTCACCAGATAAGCTTTCTGAAATAATTCAGAATATCCATGTGATTGAATAAAATGTCCTAATGTCTCGTTACGATCAATATCAGGATTGTTATCAAGTTCCTCAAGGTAACTGCATTGCAGCAGTAGATGAATAAGTCTTTCCTACAGAAACTGTGCTAAACAGAATGATTTAGTCGATTTCCATCGAAAGCTGCATGATCTTCAAATGAACAAAGAAGACTGTTTTTGTGGTCTAATGAGATGAGTAAATCAACAATGGCTCAAACAACATGAACTGGAATTGATTGCTGATAAGAATCAGTTATCGGTACCTTATGACATCCTGCTTGAACCTGATAATTTCTCTGATCATTTGCCAGAAATATGGATTCAAGACATTCTTTTTCTGTGCAAACAGACCAGAGATTCCATTCCGGCTACCCCATTCGCAACCATGACCTTTGTCTAAGCTCACTGAAAATGACATATCGGAGATCTCCATATCGACACCAAGACTCTCGAAAAATTCCATCATGTTTGGATAAGTTACCTGTCAAATACACCATTTCAGACATATACTAGTGTTCAAACCATATGGAGTTCAAAACATCTCTAGCTATGAACATGAAATCTGTTAAGAAAATGATCGGTGAGTATTGTTCAAGACCATATGTCCGTAACCAAAGTGAGATACTAACACTTAGGACTGAAAATTTGGAACGTGGTTAACATAACATAGGGGCTAAGCTAAATATTGAATAAACCAATATGAAGGATGTATCTTAAGAAAATGGACGTAGGGCCTAACCCAACCGTAGAGTAGATCAATGTGGCACTTTTATAAAATCCAAATTGAGTTTAATGTTGATGATAATACATTTCTTATCTTTCTTCTCAGACACATGACTATGCATTAGAACCTACCTAAAAAAGTTAGAAAAGGAAAGTTTGAGAGATAGAGCATCGCTCGTGACGGAGGACAGGACTTCTAGGCTAATAAGCTTCTAAAGATGAGGTGCAGATGACACCTTAAGAAAATCTCACATCGTATTGGAAGAGGAAAGTGAAGAGTTCTATAAGCATAACTCAAATTCATATGGTACACACTTTTGGGTCAATGATAGTGTAGCCCAAGGGACGAATATGTGAGGCCTGTTGGGCAAAAACACATGACATATGATTCCCACATCGGAATGAGGAAGAAAAGTGAATGCATTTTATAAGATATATAGTTCAAGTTCACATAGTAATCGAGCTTTTGAGCTCGATGATGAAGTAGTCCAAGGAACAAATATGTGAGGCCGGTTGGTCCAAAGTCAACAAAATGTGTCATGGACTTGAACTGTGACAAATAGTTATATAAACTTGTGAATTTGAATATGCAATGAGATTTTCGAATGCTATATAAAATAATACATTCATTTTAAAATAGACAAATAAAAAAAATACTGTCACAAAAAATGACACCAAGAGGACACTTTTGGTGTTCACACATATTAAACTTAGGTGCAATTTTTTTTATTTTTTCTTCAAATTTTGTGTCCAATCAAATACGACTAAATCGGGACATACCGTCCGACAAGAATTCAATATTGGGCCTAAATTCACTGTAGGACCACATAACGATGGGTCTGTTTCTTCTCCTGTACCTTTCAATATATGATAAAATAGATTTTTAAGACTAAAAATGTCAATTTTCAATTCTATTAAAGAATAAAAATGTAGTAATTTTCAATTCTATTAAAGAAAAAAAATTGTTTTTATAAAGTATGAACATGATAGCATTGTCGTATGTTTATAAATTGATTTGGTTAATGTTCGTTTGGAATCTTTTATTTGTTTGTTTAGGTAAACACGTCCAAAATTAACTTTTATTCTCAACTATATAAACGACAATTACAAAAATGTAACGTGTAGGAATTAATCAAAATAATTTTCCCCTTTTAAATAGAGTTAAAACTTAAAAAAAAAAACCCTAAATTATTTACGTTTAAATTGTTGTTGTTACCTCCCGAACTACTTTCTCCGTTTCATTTTACTTGACGTTTATATCGATAATAGATGTTTAATTTTACTTATTCATTTTTAGTAAATTCTTAAGAGCTGGTTTGGTACGAGAAATAAGGGATAACTAATTTTGGGATGAGTTTATCCTATGTTTGATTGGGATAAAATCATGAGATGACTTATCGAGATTAGTTATCCTGAGATTAGTAGTGCTATTTTTATCCGATATTAAAGATGGAATGACAATCCTGAAATAACTTGTTCCCCAACCAAACCCACCCTTAAAAGAGTTGATGGGAACCATGCAATGCCTTTATTGGATTTTATATTTTGAAATTTTTACGCTACATAACGGCCTAGCAAAACTCACCAACAAAAAATAACTATATATAGTCCTTATTTTTAACTATTTTATCTAGTGTATATAGTGCATAAATAATAAATAATCATTGTATAATTAAAGAGCTATGTTGGTGTGAGATTTTATTTTTATATGTGGTTTTATTATGTTTTATATGAGTCGAAGGTTTATTAGAAATAATATTTCTATCTTCACAAGATAAAAGATAAAGTCAATGAGTAATCAAAATAAAAGAGCTCGGATTGAATTGACATATTGCTAAATCTTGGTGATTTTCTTTAGCTAATGAATGATATATTCGCTTTAAAATTGCTCATCCTGCCCACCCTTGAATATATGCTTCAACGAGAATCAAACCATATAGTCATAAAATATATTTGAGATAAAAAAACATACGTTCTTTTTTTTCCTAGAAAATATAAATACGTAATTCACACTCTTAATTATCAAATTTTACTTATAAGATTACACTGATCGACTAATAATGTTGTAATATTCATTTAAATTTTGGTGGGAGACAATGACAAAGTATCTTCATGGAAAGATAAGACAAATGTCCCTCTCACATCTCAATTTTAACATCTATGAACGATACACAGTGAAACACGTTATACGTTTTGAACCCACAAGAAATAAATATTCTTATTATAATACTATATCACATGATATTTCTTTCATTATTTGTAAAATTTTATTACAAAAACCCCTTTAAAATTGTTGATCAGCTTCATCATTTTATCTCTAATTGTTCGTTTGATTGTGAATAAGTTATCTTGAAATAATTAATTTCGAAATAAGTTACTTTATCATGTATATAAAATATTACGTTAATATCTCCAATCAAATATAGAATAAAATAATCCTATATTTTATTGTAAAATAATTATACCTTATACATCACGTCAAACTCATTTTAAATACTGACTTATATCTCTGACTAGTTTTCTCTATTTGATAATAAAAGTCTTTATCTTTCTTGTCTCCTTCGTACATAAACAGAAAAAAATCACCTTTTACACAAGCTATACAAGTGGAAAAACAATATATACTTTCCTCATTTTAATTTATTTGTTTGATTTTAAATTAATCTCTTAAATTTTGTAGTCTTAAACTAAAAATACGTAAATTATACTAAAATGTCTTTATAACTTTGTAGTTTTAAATATCTCATGTGAAAAATTAGATTTAAAAAGTTGTCAAAAAAGATTTTTTTTTAAAAACAGACTAATTAGAAAATAGAACAAACAAACGAATGAAAAAACTAACTTATGAGTGTTTTTTATTTAACTCTAATTTTTCCATATTTGTTTGGTCAAAATCTTTATTTTTGGAAAATAATTTATTTTTTAAAAAAATAACGAAAATAACTTTCCTAGTGAAATCTTTTTTCCATCCTACCTCCACCACCCCGAATCCCCAGTCTTTAGCCCATCCCATCTCCTATAGTGTTTTACTAAATTACATATCAATAATTTTAAAATGACCTTTCTTAATTTACTTATCAAATATTCGAAAGTAAGTAACTACGTAATTATCGGAAAAAATATTTCTTTTCGTACCAAACACAACCATGAAAATTACATATGTACTTACCCGATTGAAGACCATAAATCCAAGGTCAAGATCAACGCCGTTAACGGTAACGGTCTTAGCATGGCCGCCGATATAATTTTCCTTGTCGTAAATTACAACTTTAACCCCAGATTTTGCTAATTCATATGCAGAAACCAATCCACTTATCCCTGCCCCTACCACTGCTACTTTCATTTTTATAACTGCAATAACAATAATCATCAAATTAAAAAAATTAATACTCTTCATTTTATATGACGATATTGTGTAATACAACCATAAACTCATGTTACACATGACATCTCATATAAGGGGTCGATTTCTCAGATGACTTTCTGAGATAATAACTGTTAGTTGAATGATTATCAATAGTCGTCGTCATTATAAGTGGAAAAAAAATGTAGAATGCATAGCCATTGTGTGAAAGTGAAAATGAACTTACCTTAATGATTGAAGTTGAAGCAAAGAAGAAAATGCAGGAAGAAAAAAAAGCACAAAATTAAGCAGTGAGGATTGGTTGGCTCAGTACAAAAGGACACAGAACCTAGTGGAAAAAAAAAGAGAGTGGGCAGTGGGCACTATTATGTCTTAATATACATATATATATAAAAGATAAGGTCTTCTGTTGACTCATAAAAAGAAGAAGTTATCTAGTGTACAATATAACACACGTTTTGAGTAATTTAGATTCACGTTATATAGACTAATTATAAGTGAGAAGGTTCTCTATGGGGTCGTGGACAGGCAGTAGCGGACTCAAAATTATTATTAAGGGGTGTTAATAGTTGTAAAAAATTTAAGTACGAGGCTTGTATGACTAGAACCTACAACCTCAAGGAGGTTTTACAGCACCTTAATCACTAGACTAAACATTTAACTTGTGTCAAGAGGTGTCAATGCTTATATATGTATTTACTAAACCAAAATTTGACCTCTATATACAATGTAATTTTCTGACGAAGGTAGGTAGGCCCCTGGTGGACGGATGACGGATCTAGAGGATTGGTTATTTCTACTTATTCACTTTGAATTTTACACGTCTCTTAAGAAATAATATTTATATTAATTGATGTATATAGTTTTAGGCCGTGTGAAATGATTTGGGGAAAAGTAATTAATGTTGATGATGAAAAAAAATAAAAATTATTGCTTTTTCTTGGACAATAGTAAGAATTTATTTTCCATCGTACATTTTTTCACGATAAAATTTCTCACTGATTTGCCGTGACAAAAAAAAACCTTTATTTCTAATAACAACAAGTAATTGTATGTGCCTCACACATTTACCGTAGAAATTATTTAAAATAAAGATTTAATAGCTATTTTTAAAATTAATTTCAAATTATAATTTAATCTAATGTGAAATTTTATTTTTTTAAGAGTAAAATAGTCTATCAACATTTCGTGTTAGGGTTTTAATTATGCTTTTATCAAATGCTAATTGACAGAAATATCCCTAAACATTGAACGAAATTTATACCCTTTACAACATTAAATTATTTATTAAACAAAGATTATTTAACATTGAATAAAATTACAATAAAACTTAAGTTTATGGAAAGTGTGATTGCACTTAGCAAAACTATAATCTTTCAAATGAATAATCAAACACTGTTTTATATCCATTTGTTGAATTTTCCTAACATTTTTAAAAAAAAAATTGATGAATAGACTAATCTCAATATGATTTCTCAATGCAAATTAAGTCCAAATTCATATAAATTCATGTTGAAAACATGAAGGTAAAAACAAACAAAACCAATTATTTTAAAATCAAATGGTATAAAACGAAAAAAAAAACCTTTTTTTTTAATCAAATGATATAAAATGAAATAAATGTAGCTTAAAGAACTCACCTGGTTAGGAGCAATCAATTAATATCCATGGAGAATAATGAATTAGGTTACTAATGAAGTTTTTAAACCCTTTTAATAGGAGTAAATAGTAATTAACAAGTTTCCTATTTGTTCTCCGATTATATTAATTTTTCTTTACAATATAGTTTAATTCTTATTAATACTTGTTCTTCTTTTATTTTTTGTCATGTGAAATTTTGTGTTTACTAAAAAAAACATTATTTGTGTTTACTATTTTATCAAAGCTAGAACATATTTACGTAAAGGTAAAAAATACAAACAAAATTTTGCTAACATATTTCGTATTTTTATTATAATATTTTAATTTTAGTGTACGTATATCGCACGTGATTCCTTATTTGAATGAGAACAATCTTTTAAAAACAACATAAATATCATTTGTAAAATAATAATTAATTTTACAAAATAGCAAGTTCTAAAATAATAATTACATCTAAAAAAAAGAGACTTCTAAACCTAAACGAAATTAAAAGTTATAACTTCAAACGCGTTTTTTTTCTCTTTTTTTTTTCTTTCTATTTTAAGAGTTATTTTAATTTTATTAATTACCAAGAATTATGTTTTTAATTCGAAAAAAGAGAATTATGTTTATATTAATCATTCAAACGCCATCTAATTTTTCAGATCTAAATATTCAGTTAGTAGTTAATCTTTGGACGAATTCAATAGCCTTGATTTGTTGCATTTTTAGTTAAATCATTTTGAATAAATAAAACTCTTATTATCGTACTTAGTTGTTATACGGTTCCTTGTATATATGCTTCATACTTCTTCGTTATTAGTTGTTATGTTTCTCTCCATTACCCTTCTTTTCTTTTAATTATTGCTTTGATTTGTTCGAACTGAAGGTCTTTCTGAGACAACCTCTTACTAGCTAATTGTTATTAAACCATTCATTAACTCTAATTAATCTCAAATTAAACCAATGTCTTTGACGATAGTGACTTATCAAAGAGATCAATTTTCCAACGACACACATTTTCCTCTAATTTATGCAAAATAAGCCATAGAAATTATTTAGTTTTGGGAGATTAAGTTTCAAATTCCAAATTCTCCTTCAAATTCATACAAATTAAATATGAATTTACTTTAAATTTGTTTTGCTTGATTTGTATGAATTTACTTCAAATTTGTTTTGCTTAATTTATTATTTCTTTTTTCATATTTGTAAACCCTTGCCAATATATACTGTCTGATTTTATCTCTTACATTGAATAATATTTAATTTGCTTGTATTCCTAAATAATTTTTCAGATTTATAAATCTTTGTTAATACATGATGTTTTTCATTTTCTACCATTATTATAATTTTATTTTATTTTTGTAATGATGAATTTTCGTAACAATTGTAATTTTACGAGTTGTAATGGCTAGTAACTGCACTACTATTAGTAGTTTTTATTAAAATATTGTGTTATACTTTTAGGATAATGTATTATTTAGTTTATTATAAAAATGATAATTTAGTGTCAAACTTATCTGTATATAAATTATACATTTGTGATAATGATAATGAACGTCATTACTAAAGGTTATTCTGCATATTTGGAATTAGCAAGTATGTTTGTTGGGTATAGTTGAGTATTTTTGATAGTTTTTAGAACTTATAAATATAAATCATATTTCATATTTTTTCAAATAAATAATAAAAATGAGATATATTTAGAAATAAACTATGACCAAACACATTTTGAAACTTCAACCCAAATTGCACCTAAATCTGATTTTAAAAAATATTTGAAAATCTATGGTCAAACGCTAACTAAATTTTTAACCTTCAGAATCTCTAAAGGGCAACTTGAGTTCTAAATTAGCAACACCTTGTGATAGTTAAGATCGTATTAGTAAGATTTTCAACATATCCTACATTAGGAAGATTAGAAAAGGATCGTATTTTTAAGAGGTGATATAGATAATTTATCATAATGCAAATATTAATGATTGTTTTTATGATTCAAATCCACAGTAACTTATAATCATGCAATAATAATTTTACCGTTGCTTTAAACTTTCTGACCGAACAAAAGAGAGAAAAACATAATTATCAGAGGAGTTGATATATTTTGAAAAACAAAAGTTGACTTATTGGTGTTTGGATTACATACATGAGAACAAAATCAAAGTCTTTTTGAGTGGTTGGTGGTTAGAAAGTTTAAAATGATAAATATTGATGAAGAAATCTATAGATTAATATACAATGTAAATACTTTTTATATTATTCAGATCATCTTTATTTATGGTTATAGATAAGATTCAATTTTCATATTTTCTACTTATATATCTTGTTTAAATAACTTAATAGTTATAAAACTTTAAACTTATAGAGTAAGCAAAACATTAATCAAAGTGACGATGACTACTTTGTTGTTGTATACAAAGTCTTTCGATTTAATCCTAACTTGACATTATAATAGTGGAAGATGAAATAATTTTTAAAAAGGGCCAAGAACATGCATATAAATTTATATTTTACATCGAAAGTTATGAATTTAATTGAATTCGTAATTATAATGGTACATTCGCCCCGGTTTCCACCCTAACCCTCCCATGCCCACCCCAAAACTTAGTTAATTTGTCATATTATAATTTTTTTTTTTGAAAATATTCTTACTAATTAAATACTTCAAACACAAAACAAAAATAAATGAGAAAATCGCTTATTTTCAAAATGGAAAGATTTTTTGAAAATGTTTACCTTCATACAATTTGTTCGGAGGAATTTTTTTTTCTTTATTAATGTTTTCAACTTACTTACCAAACACTGAAAAAGTGAGTAAAAAAATAATACTCCCTCCGTTTCACAAAGAATGACCTCCTTTCCTTTTTAGTAAGTTTAAAAAAAAATGACCTCTTTCCTTTTTTGGTAACATTTTACTTTTTGCTTTCCACGTGGCATGTTTAAGACCACAAGATTAAGGGCAATTTTGTACATTTGACATAACTTTAATTTAGGACCACAAGATTCAAAAGTCTACTTTATTTACTTAAACTCCGTGCCAAGTCAAACCAGGTCATTCTTTGTGAAACGGAGGGAGTACTCTATTTGTCCCAATTTATGTGGCATTTTTTATTTTTTCGAGAGTCCAACAGTTTAAGTTTGACCGAGAATTTGCGCATGGAATCTTCAATTTTTTTGAAATGAAATTTATATATTTGTAAACTACGTAAAAAGTACTATAAGTAACAACAATTGATAATTCAAAATGTGTAAAAGATCTATAAAATATTTATGGTCAAAGATAGACTTATTTAAATCTCGAAATCCGAAAAATGCCACATAAAATAATATAGAAAGAGTACTTTTTTTTTTTCATAGAAATATTTTCTTCAATACCAAAAACACCCTAATCCTTTTCTA